ATATATATATAGCTCTGCAAAACCAAGGAAGGAGTAGACTTGGGATATGCTTTCTCAGAAGATCTGGACTATTAGTATGACCAGAACAGGAAAACACCCTGTCCAGCAAACCAGTTTGATCCAAAATTGAAGACACAAGAAAATGTGAGATAGAGCTGTGCTTGCAAATGCTCAAATGTTTTTTTTTTCTGAGACGAACCTGCCATTAGTTTCCTTGGATATGTCCCACAGTACAACACTGCCAAGTGCATTCTAGCAGCTGGTTCTGGAGCACTTTTGTGTGTGTGTGCATGTGGCATCTTGCTGAGCACTGGTCAAAATCCAAAAATGCTTGTAAGTACACGATGGGGTATGTAGGTAATCCCATTGCTTTAGGTGAAGACACTTAGATGCCTAGAGATCACACTCTTCAATAACTGCCTGAATAGATGAGACAGCAACAAGCCACTCTCTTTATTACCTTTCTCAGAGAAAAATACAGCACCACGTAACAGCTCTAAAACACCTGCAGCATCCCTAACTGTATTTCCCACAACTTTGAGAAACATCAGTGTTGTTCCTTGGTATAAGCGCTTTTCCTTCTCTCTTCCCCATTCCCTCAACTCCCCAGTTGTGCTCTAAACCTTGGCTCGATACAGTCCTCTAGAGGCAGAAAAGGGCTTGACCTGGTATAAAAAGCAATGTTATTCTGCATGTAATAAATATTTTAAATGCTTCATCAGTGTAAATAAATGCTAAATTCTGTGAACCCAGGGAATGACATTAACGTGTTTTGTGTACTGAAACATTTATGGACTCAATGTCAGCCAACAGAATGCAGCCAAGAGGTTTTGGGTTTTTTTAAAGGTAAACTGAAGTGCTTTGAAAATAAATACTAAGAGCTGTTTAAGATCTTCAATTATTAACAGAAAACAAGCACAGACTGAAAAAAACTGCAGACAATCCCTTTTGTGGCACTTTCCCTAACTTCTGTGCAGTTATCTCTCTGTTCATCGTGGAGTGAGCTCCCCAAAGCAGATGCTGTGCCTTCACAGGTGTATGTAGAGTGTCTAGCACATAGAGAGAGCTTCCACGAGTGATTAAGTACATTTAGAATGCCAAATATTTGAAGATAATTGATATTTAATTGCCAGGATGTAAGCTTAGGATACTGTGTTTATGGTTGGCCAACGATGGCATTGTCACGCTTTGTAAAGCCGTGTAAAAGCATAACTTTTCACTCTGCTCTGAGAAGGCAGTTACTGGCAGTGATGAGCTACTGAACACTGTTAGTTACGAATTAATGTGTTTGTCATGCAGTTCCCCAGTAGTGCAGTTGGGCTTTAAGTCCAGATTATTCCACTAATTAGCAAGCTTATATACATTACTGTTAAAGGGTACAGAGAGTTTCTGAAAGTTTAAAACCGCTAACTATGCAGCAACTTCAGAAATGTTCTCTCAGAAGATGTTAACAAATGCTACTTGTAGAAGGGAAAGGGATAGAAGCACATCACCATGCACCTGGCATTGGAGTCAAGCTTATTGCTGCAATATAGATGCAGTAAGTAACTTGACTATTTTCAGTTCAGGCAGCCAATTGCAAAATGAATAGTTGTTGCAAGGAACTGCATGAGGAGCCAGGCCTGGACAATCAGGAAAGTTGCTTTAGTAGAAAGGAGGGAGAACAGATAAAGAAGGATTAAAGGACTGGGGGAGAGTCATGGGCAGGTAGAGCAGACAGAGACACTTTTAAAATAAAAACCCCACAGGTTTCAAAACACATCATACCAATGTTCAGAAATCTGAGAGGTGCAGATCAGTGTCTGTGGATGATCAGATGCATTTCTGATCAGGGTAAATTTTCCCGTACATGCGTACGCAAAGCCTTTTCTAACCAATGCTGAGAACTTCTGTGCACTTCTACATGCTCATTCGCTGTGCAGAGGAAAAAGAGCAGTTGAAGTGGTAGAGAAATTACTTCTATGTGCCAACTCATGCATACTCTTTTTCTCTGCACACTGGGACACACAGGTTATCACCCAAAATGGGTGCTCACAATACAGAGGCAATACAGTCCCAATTCCCTGATGCTGTCTCTTATGTACCACTGCATACCTTTGGCATTATCTCCCTTGTGGAGTTAAGGCTTGCACTCGTAGCAATGAGCTGTGCAGCAAATAATAATGATTAAATCAGAACGTCCAGTGATCTGATCAGACTGAAAAGCTGGCTTCTGGATTTCAAGTAGGTGATGCCAATAACTGCCTTCCCACAGCAGAGTGAAAAGTTATGCTTTTACACAGCTTTACAGAGGCTGGCAATGCCAACCAATAAATTGGTTTTAAACTTTCAGAAACTCTCTGTGCACATTAGTGGTAATGTATGTAAGCTTGCTAATTAGTGGAATAATCTGGATTTAAAGCCAAACTGCAGTACTGGGACACTGCACGACAAACATGTTGATTCATACTAACAGTCTTCAGTTGCTCTTCACTTCTTGTTGTTCAGAGTTGGTTTATTATCCTCAAGAAGCTGAAGATCCTGTAAATCTTCTGATGGTGCATGTTCGCCTTGACTGTCTAAACACCTCATCATCTCATGTTTACAGTGCAAGACTTTAATATCACAAGGAGATGCTTTTTTAATATAAAGGGCATGGGTTTGTGCAGATACTGTCTTCTCTGGACATTCTGTAATACACTGAAGCACATGGCATGGGTGATAATCAAGCCACGTTTAAAATGAGAGACCTTTTTGTTCATCGTTGTGTCTGTTCTCACTGTCTTAGAGCACTGGGTATACTCTATCATGAATATTAAATGAATTAATAATTAAGGGTAAATTACATAAGACCTGGTATTAAAACTCTCAACCTTGTAATCTTGGCTACATTTTGGATTAATGGGACTCCTGAAATCACTAAAATTATGGAGGTCTTTATTGCTTTTTTGTAGATTTATTCGAAGCTAAAAATATTTTAATCTGTGAAGTTTGTCGGTTATTTTCAGGTTCACAGCCATCTGTAGTCATTTAAATTTCTTGTATTGCTGTACATTGTTTGGGAGAAAGTGGGATATTGCTTTAATTTTCTGGTGACTGTTGCAGTCTCGACTGCTGTGAAGTATTGGAGTGATGTTGATATGGACTGTAATTCATTTTTTTATATCTTTAGAATTAGTAGATTGTATAAGGTGAGCATCTAGGGAAAAAGGCTGAATGCCTCTTATCATCATGATAATGTTTTGTTTCCCAGAGACATTGGTTATCCAGAGTACCTAGACATAAATGAGTAAGCAGAACATCCTGCTCTTATATAGGATAAGTTTTGATCCTGTCAGTATTGTAGTTCATTTAAGATCTCTTTGTGAAAGCCAGAATATTCTACAATGAATATCACTCCCTTTGGATGAACTCTTTTAGCATGAACCATTAAGAGATAATTGAACCAACTGCAGGCACCTGAACAAATGTTCTGACTAGAGGAATGCTAGCAGCCAGCTTTGCACTACTAGCAGGCAGTGAATGATCTTGCTGGCTTGGTGGGTGATGCCACCTTTGGTTGCTTGTGCTTCATTCAGTCATGGCTGGGGAGCAAAAACAAAGTCTCCACCTTAGCTGTGAATTGGCAAGTGGATTGCCTGTGAGTGAAAGTGCTTGTCAGGTAATGTGTCATCCGTATAAGAAAGTATTCAAATACTTCATTTATTTTTTTTTTAAGTAATAGAAATGAAAACCTGAGATCTTAGATGATAGATTTTAGAAGTTAATAGTTATCACAAACTCTCCTGGCAGATGTATAACAGGCATTTACAACTCAGAGATCACATTTTTCAAAAATTACAGCTAATATCAACTTCTCTGAGGAGATGACAGCATTGGCAGGAGACATTAATGACTTCTGGCTCTCAGTCATTGCAAAATCATGAGCTCATACTTGGTCTGATCTGACTGTTAGGCGACAATAGAGTTCTAGATGTCTCTCAGTACTTCCAACATAAATAACTTGCCAGTGACAGTAGTTGCCATCACTGCTACCGGTGATAATAACTTTAAGACCTTCATAAATGTAAATCCTTAATAAATCTTATGAGGCTGGCTTTGTTATTCTGGTTTTACAAATAAGGAGAAGGAGACAGAGAGAGGCCCATGAATCTACAACTTAAGTTAGCTGCATCTGAAGGTGCAGAATCTTTGCACTTTAGGAAACTTTTCTACAAGTCACTTTCCCTAGGCTTTTCTAGAAATGTAGGGCTCACTCATTATTAGGATGTATACCAGTCTCATGCCTTAACAACCATGTGTAGTAATATTTTGTTCATAACCCTTTCTGGGGACCTGGATAATCTCTGTTATAGAGTGATGACTGGAGTACTGGTTCTGACTCTCCCTTTGTTCAGGCTGAAGTACGGTCAGGTTGATCTGAAGTGCAGAGGGATCCTACGAGGTCCAGGATCTCTCAGTCAGTATAGGTTTGGTGGTCCTACTGTAGCTCTGGGTCTGCTTGAGACTGGCTTGACCACGGGGATATCCCAGAATCAGAGCAGGGATGGGACTTCAGTTTGCTATCTCTCCCCATGCTCTGGAGTGCAGGTTTGTGGTACCCCAGCATTTGCTCTCCTGTATATCTTACTGTTGTACTTTTTCTGCCTCAGTTATAGGTGTTCTTTGTTTTTCCCATACTTTAACTCACCTCATTCCTGTCTGCGGATAAGCTTAGGTCTGGTTTTCAAGAACAGTCAGAATAGCTAATGTGTTCCCTCCCCAGAGTTTTGGCATTTTAATGACAGGTGAGGTAATACCTGTTTTGATTTAGTCTGTGATCCAGCCTGTGATGGTTAGTTTGTTAAACGTTGGGGATCTTCTAGACAGAGGTGATCTGTAAATGTATGTCTTTACATCAGCAAGATAATGAGTTCAAGCAAGGGAGAACAAAATAAAAATGACATGTTTTATCTGCAATTTATAGCTTCTCTGAAGTTTGTCCACTTGCTGATAAGTGTTTCCTTCTGTTCTCTCTCCAGGTCTCCAGGTGGTTTTAAATTCAATTATCAAGGCCATGGTCCCTTTGTTACATATTGCCCTGCTGGTGCTGTTTGTCATTATTATCTATGCCATCATCGGACTGGAGTTATTCATGGGGAAGATGCATAAAACCTGCTACCATGTGCAAGGGGGACTTATAGGTGAGGGCAACATTATATTGTATGTACAAAGATTTTCTGAGGGAGACTTTCCCCTTGTATAATGGAGCATTTGTGCTGGCACAGGAGATGGATGGCTGTCGCTCTCTGCTGCGCACCTGTCTGAGGTTTCAGAGTGGTGACTCCTTTATTCTGCTTCTTGGATGTGAATCACCTTTGATGTAAAGAAACTATCTTGAACGGGGAGAGTTTAGCTGGCTTATCTTGGGCACTCAGTTGTTGGCTTGTCTGCAAAGGCTACAAGCAAAACTGTGAAAACCTGCTGAATACAGTAATGGCCTTCTTAATGTGGGTTTTTGGCCCTACAAGCCAGCTTAAGTCCTTTAACAAGTCTCCCAGAGGCTCAAGCAACACTAAAGTAGTGATGATTTCACCACTAGCAAATTGAGCTGCAAAAGAGATGGCATCATGGAACATCTCTTACATTTTGTTATTAATCTTGTCCACAAATACATCCTAATGTTATACTGATAACATTGTAAAGGAGTATGTACTTGAGGCCCAGAAGGGTGGCTTTATTTTTTTTTTCTTTTTTCTTTTTCTTTTTTTTCCAATCACAAGCTGTGACTGTGGTTAGAAGTGCAGCTAATAAGAAAGCAAAAGTATATTGATGAGAAGAAACTTTTTGTACCAAATCCATCATGAAAGAACTTTCCAATTATTTACAGAGAGAAAAATTCACATTTCAAAATAATTTAATTGTATTGTCACTTACCTAACCATCTGCTCTTTATCATTTGTTTTATCCAACTGGAGCAGCAATGATTCCCTACGTGATGGTGGGTGCCAGTGTCTAGGACCCAGTTCAGTTCGTAACCAAGATAATGTTGTACAGCAGGAAATTGCTTCAGAAGTTCTATATTTCCTACTTTTATAATATTGGCAGGTTTCATTTTCTGGAAAAGGATGCTAGAATTATAACAAATTGTGAGTCTGGATTACATCTTCAAAGTGCATAAATCTTTCTCCATACTGGCTATAATTATTATACATTACAGAATCTAATTCTAAAATTGCTATTTCTGTCATGCTTTAAAGATCGGGGTGTGATCAGAACCTTTGGAAAATTCAAATTTTTTTGCCATGTAAGGAGCAAACATAATAACCTGCTTCCCCACATATGCATACCTGCACCTGTTAAAAATGTAGCAATAGGCACTGAAATCCATATATTTTTAAAATCCTATTGCAGCAATTTTTGTGCTTGTAAAATGTTTTCTGCAGCATTTTGTGTATATCAAGCATCTAGGCAGGCTATTGTATGGGTTCTCACATCTTTGGTAACACCTGTACAGAGTAAGGGGTGGCTCTTCAAGCAGTAGAGTCTTACAGTGCTTCTGAGTGCCACTGGGCTATTGATAATATGCCACAGCTTCCAAACGCTACAAGAGGAGAGCTCCAGTGACTTTCTCCTGTAATGTAGCAGTGGCCAAGACTGTATCAGCCTATCTCCAGAGAACTGAGGCCTGTCTTCTGCTGCAGGGGTTCAACCCCCTTCAGCAAAGTGCCAGCCAGTGCTGCTGTTCCCTTCCAAGACTGACCTAGATGCCAGGCGACTGCAGTATGAAAACACTGGTCATAGTGTATGGCCTAAAGAATGTCATAATCTTGATCTAATGTTCCCTCTCATGTTGAAAGACATTTTAGTTTTAACTGTAAAATTTGACAACTTGGCCATTGTTTTTACAAAAGGAAAGTGGAGCACCGTGCAGCATCCCTCTGCCTATTAAAATTAAGACAGTTTCTTGTGTGTTCCTAGAGAAATCTGTCAAACTCATGGCCAAGTATCTTTGTGAAAATCAGATGTCCTTCACTCGCTTACTGGTGTGTCGAACAGTGATTAGTTCCCTTCATCTCCGTTTTCTCCCTTCCTCTCCTTTCAGATACACCCGCGGAAGACGACCCGTCTCCCTGCGCCCCGCAGTCTGCGCACGGGCGGCAGTGCCAGAACGGCACGGAGTGCAAGGCGGGCTGGGAGGGCCCGAAGCATGGCATCACCAACTTTGACAACTTTGCTTTTGCCATGCTGACGGTCTTCCAGTGCATCACGATGGAGGGCTGGACGGATGTGCTGTACTGGGTACGTATCCGAAAATGATAAGCTGGAAGGCTTGCCTGTGTGCTCTGGCTGTGTTGAAACTTGGGGGCTTTGCTGCTTCTATATAGCGAAGGCATGTTTGCTAGCATGGAGCTTTAACTAACTCAGAATACCAGCGGTTCAATGGGAGGGTTTTTCTGGAGCAGTTAAATGTAAACTATGACTTTCCATTAATATTTTAAAGTTGAACGATGACATGTGGCTTACTGGTTTGGAGATTTGCAACCTACCTTTGTTGAGCAGCATATCACGTAAAGACCCTCTCTGCAGGAGTGAAATATCCCCTGCATCTCCAGATTACTGATGTAAAAAAGTTTGTGACAGATAGCTGTGTGCTCTGCCCATTATGTTATTGTCACAAAGGCACTACACTGATCAGCTCACAGGTGTTTTATAAGAAAGGCCTCATAAATCCCTTTTCATGCCAGCACTACTCCTGATTATGACTTCTATCATAATAGTATTAGAATAAATTCTCCTAACTCTGGTATTGGTATTGATCATGGTTACATGTTTAGCTGAAACATGATAGTATCTTTAATCTAAATACAGTCTCATCTTGTCCTTCACCCTAATTCTGGAATTTTTAATAGCCTTAGTTTCTACCTTGTAATTCCTGTTGTATTGGGAAGTTCATGGGAGCTAAAATCAGATTTAGCCTTCACCTGTAAACCAGATATAAACATGTTTCTGGATTTTGCTCTTGCCATCAACTTTTGAAGCAATATGTTAAGGCCCAGGACTTTAATTCACACAGAGTTCAGTCCTGTCTGTGTAAGGCTCTAGCAACTTTGAAGACTGCCATATTCTGTTACCTGTTTCTGCTGAATGGTAGGGTGTGTAGCACCAATGCATGATGGAATTTAACTGAAGAAGACCCAAAGCACACAAAAGTATGGTTTGGACTGAGGCAGCTTGCACCGTTAATCAGTATCAGCTTCTCTTTTGAACATGAGCCTGAAGTTGCCTTCTACTCACCAGCGAGTTAACATTTACAAGATTTCCTTTTGAAGATTTAATTTATCTACAAGAGATAGTTTCTGTGTAGAACAGCTAGCAGTTGTCTCTTTATCCTTGTAAATTAGGAATCGAATTTTGACTCTAGCTTCCTTCTAATGCCTGAGATAAAGGGCAGAGATCAAACAACAGAAGAAGTCTGGGTCTCAGGGCACAAAAATTTTCTTTACTTGAAAATAGCGTATAGATTAATAAAATAATGGACAAGAACAGAAGTCAGAAAAGAAGCTGGGCAAAACTACTCCATGGCTCAGCTATGACTATATATAATATACCTGTTTTTTTATCATTTAGCTCCAGTCTTTGTGTTATTGAGAGGATTTATAGGTAGTTCTGGGGAATTGGGAGAGAGAAAAAGATATCAGAAATGAAAATAGTTTTGGCAGTGTACACCATTTAGTATTGTGAAACCTATCCACAAGTTACCATCATTTTCTCCAAAGACACGTGTTACGACAGACCCTCCCAATCCCCACACTTTTGGGTTCATGCATCATTTTCCTGACTGGATGTGAATCATTCAGGACTTAGTTATCAGCTGTTTAGTAACAGGAGCCAAAAGCATATACTCACTGCTGAATGGTTGTCTACCATGAGTGCTGCAGATGGTCTGATTTTTTTGTGGCGTCCCTGCAGCAACCTGAATTTCAGGTTTTTGTTTGGTATTCAGTCAGCTTTTTTCACTGTTTTTCTAAGCTGATCTTTTTTCTTTAGAGACAGTATGGTGAATTGAGACCTGAAATTAATACAGATTGATGGTCATTATTTTTAGGGACATTCATGTAGTTAGCCTTTTAGATTATGGTTCTGATAGAATGTTTGGTTTGTAAACAAAAAAATATTTGTTATCATCAGTTCCCAGTTACTCCTAGACAAGACTACAAACAAGAGTTAGCACTGCAGATAAAATTTCAGTAAATGAGGAGGAGGAAATTTAGTTTGTAAAGAAAAAAAAATATCACCTATGTTTAAAGGCCATGAAATATGAAGTTTGAGTAAATACATGAACACCTGAGCTGACAGACATGTTTGGTTAAGCTGCTGTGAACAGTCCAAAGAGTACTGTTGTACTATATGACTTTTTGCCTCTTTGTGTTACATTGTCCAAGTGGATAGAAGTCAGATCCAACCAGTGTTGGCCATACAGGAAAGAAGGTATCTGAAATGAGATGCTTATTTCCTTTTGCAGAGAGGTCTGTGCTACTCTGGAGGCAGATGGGCAATTACTAAAGGGCACATGTATGAGCAGCATTGTGGTTTTCATACTTACATGTAAAACCAGTCGCTAGCCATTTGCACTGTAATTTCATATGTGGGTGTTTCAAAGTGTATCTAGGGTGGTTTATACCATGAGTTTTATAGTCCATGAAAAGGGCATTCTAGCTTAAGCTGGTCAGATGAAAAGGAAGAGTACTTCTGGATAGTAAATAATAGAAGTGATGCAACACTTCAAGTTCTGAAAGTGAAGGAAGAATTTTAGTAAGTGGGGCAGGGTATAAATATATATTTTAAACTTAAGGTGAGCCACTGTTTCTTCAGTGAAGCCTGACTCATCTATAACCCCACTCCCTGGCCATTGCCTTTTCAGCGAAGGAAGAGTGGACTTGTCGTAGACAACACATTGGGGGCTGCATCTCAACAAGAGTGTAGAGATAGGAGGCTATTATCTTCTCAGGTAGATAACACTTTGAAAGATCTCCTGGATCCACAGTGAGGCCATGGAAATTAAAATTTTCTTAATTAGGAAATAAATCTGCTTAGTTAATTAAATTAGAAATCCAGACTTAGAGATCCCCTCTCCCCAACTACATCCTGAGACAGAGAATTAGTTGTCCAGTTTTACACTGAAAAGAAAGTAAAGGTTAAAGAACAGTATAAGAAAATGTTGTCTGCAGATCAGACAGTTTTGCAGCTGAGAATTTTAGGTGATGATTTTCAAAAGTCATTCCTGAAACTTAATAATGTAAACTAATGGGTTAATATTGAAGTGCTGAGCATTCAAAGTTCAAGCAGACTTAGATTCTTAGCTGCTCTGCAATTCAGCTTAGATACCAAGGTTTCATCTGGGGTCCTGCTAGGGTCAGTGGCAAAATTTCAGTTAATTCCAAAAGATCATTTTCTAAAATCCCAATTCATAAAATCTCAATCATACTGTTGAGGTTTTCCACATGCAATCACGTGTACATGAGGATTTTCAGATGCCTAATCAGGGCTTTGGTGTCTGTTGTGGTAGTCTTCCAAGAACATACCTGGGTATGTAGGGAGTTTTCTTTGCTCCCTCCTTAAATCTGAAAGTAAGAGCCTGATCAAAAACTCAGCAGAACCACAGATAAAACTCTGGGCTGAATTACTTGGCTGGAAGTGTTTAGGCAACAGAGCAATTCCCTTGGTTTGAATGTTTCTGTAAGTGTTTTTCAATTACATCTTTCTACTTTCTAAAATATAGCTTTTGAAAGGTATCTAGATCTCTGCATTCGTGTCAGTAGAAATGGAGGGACATTAACACATTTCAGCATGCTGCCCTGAAATATGTGGTAATAATTTCATTAAACATACGTGTGTCTTGTGCCACACTTTGCAAGGTTAAACCTGCATGTTTAAAAGCCAGAAATCTGTACGAAGTTCCACAAGCCGTTTCACAAACGCACTTAGTAGCTCTTCAGATTTCACCTTCAATTAGCTGCTTCCTTCTTCATGCTTCCCTTCATGCCTCCTTTGGCTTTTCAACTCTGTAGTGAAGATGTCTCCTCTCTCATAGATTACTATTTCCCAGCCTGTAATCCACACCATCACAAAAAGATAATCAGAGACAGGAAAACCATAAACTTTTATTTCTGAGAAGGACTTGACATCAATAAGATCAATGCACTTCCCAGTCTCCTCTCTTGTGAGTAGATAGGCTTCTTTTTAAATGTAAAAGAAAAAAGTGTTAGGGAAAACTGTTAGATGCTGCTACAGTGACAGGTATGATTAATTACAAGGAGCCAGATTTCTAATGTGAAGTAACTGTATTGGACCAGATGAAAATCCATGCAAAACAACCTTGTTGACTGAAGAACTGTTGTTGTTTGTTGAATGGAGCATTAAGTGTCTACAGGAGCGCATCACCTGTGCTACCTCAGTATCTTACAAGGTTTATTTTATCCCAGTCTTTCTCTCATGTGCAGTCAGTTTACAGAATCATTTCAGTAGACAGGCACCTCTTATGACATGTCATATCATAATTTTTCCTATGCGTTGTAGAAAGATTGAGCTTATTATTCTCAAAACTCTCTTTAATGTACAATCAACCAGGATTAGCTGCTTGCAGGCACCAAGTCCCTTTTCTGAAGACCCCTCAGTCTTGGAAACTTCCAGCAGCAGATGTGAGCCCAAGCATTACCGAGTAATCTGATATTTTGTAATCAGTCTCTGCTGCAGTCCCTTCCTTCTTATTGTCTTGTTGACTAAGGAGGAAAATTAATCACTGTGCAGTTTGTAACATCCTGGTTAAGTATTTGTAGGCATTTGTTGTATTCTCTCAATCTTTTTCTAATCTGAGCAGATTCAGTTCTTTCGGCCTTCCATGATGGGACTTCTTTTAATTATTTTTAATCAGTTTTTTTAGTGTCCTTCAGGGTAAACTTCATTTCTGAGTTAAATGCGATTTGGACAGTGCCCTGTTCCTAGAAAGGCTTTCATCTTTTCATGAAATGTGCTTTCTGCAGCTGGATCCCTGTAACACCACATGCAAAACTGCCCACTGCAGCCTCAGTTTTACGTGTCTGGTCTCTCCACTCCCCTGCATCTAAGCAATTGTATATATAAATGAAAAAAAGAGTGCAGAGCAAGTGCAAAACACAACCATACATTGTTGCATTGAGCTATTCACAGTGCTGTGTAGTGGAGAACCTGATCGTGAAATGTTCTGCATACAGCTTGCCCACTTACAGCTTGAATTCTAGGGTTGTTGTAATTCTACTTGA